GGCCGGGACCGAGCATTAGGCGGCATTGATGCCATGGAATTTGCATTATGGTTCAAGCCGAGTCCGAGGCCGTTGAAATGCGAGGAATTGAGAACCTGGACCTGCTGTGGTGGCCCCATGGCTGAGCTATTTGTCGGGATAGACATTGGCATGGGCATGGGTAGGCCAGGCGGGGCGCTGAGACCGGGAGGCGGGCCGTTGCCAGTTGAGAACCGGACTGGTCCCATGCCTGCCGATGTGCTGTTGTTCATGCCGGAGACAGGGCCAGGCGAGCTCATGGAGTTAGCAGGGTGGATGCTGCCTGGTTGGCCATTGCGGACGCCCCAGGGGGTTCTTGGAGAAGCTGAGCCGGATGCCGCCCTTGACGCTGTTGGGAGAGTTCGTAGCCGTAGAGTTCAGTCAGGCATTTGGTGGCAAAGGAGACGTCCTCGAACTCAACGAAAGCAGATGGGCCCGTTGGGCTTTTTGGCGAAAGATCAATGCGCTTGTAACCGCGCTGGCTTGAGAAGAGGGCCTTGAGCTCGTCTTCGAGGTGTCTTGCGGTAGATTGCCGACATACAGGAGAATGCAGGGAGGATTCTGGATCCGCTGGGTTGACCGGCGGGTAGTTGAGCCGGTGGAACTGAAGCTGGTGGTACGGGGTAGTCGACCCGCTGCCGCTGAATGTAGATACGGCGCTGGTGGGCGTAGGCATGTTTCTGGTAGCTGGAGTGCCAGCTCCGGCGCTGAAGGGGGCCAGTGGCGGAGAGGACATGTTTGTCGTTAGGGAGAGGTTAGAGAACTGCGACATGGGCAGCTGCGGGTTTGTTGAGCGGCGCTGGAGAGCCATGGGCCCGTTGCGAGCGTATGCGATGGGATCCTTGAGCAGTTCCCCGGTGTCTTCATCGACGTCCTGATCGATGACGGATTTGCCAGAGACGCGAGGCCGGTCGTTCATCCCGTTGCCTGCGGGAGACTGAGAGGAGAAGAGGGAGTGTATCCGAGATCCCGTATCCGGCGCAGGCAGCTCGCCGTTGGTTGTCGATGCCGAGGACTGCTTGCCGATAGACGAGCCGTCCAGCGCATTATCCAGGGAGTGCATGTCGTCCAGCCGGCTGAGCATACGAGAAGACGGCATGAAGGGATGCGGCGAGGTTGGAGAGAGCATGGAGAGCGAGCGAGGCAGGTGGTCGATGGTGTTGCGGCGAGATATCATGGCTGACGTCGACGGCCCCGATACAATCTCGACTATCATGTTTGCGTCGTTTGTCGAGTTGGGCTTCCCGTTCAGCATCGCCTGCGCCTCCTCAGCCGCCGTCCGCGTCTCGAACAGGGCGACGGCCGTCAGGAAGGACGAGTCCTCTGAGTATTCGTTGGGTATGAATTCGGCATCGAGCAGGTTCTTCGCGAACAGCAGCATGCTCCGTAGCGCCTCGTAGCTGGTGTTCCGGGGCAGCATCCGCATGCGAACGGCAGTAGCACCGCCATGATGCTGCTGCTGGTGACTCTGGTGATTCTGCTGTTGGCTCTGCTGTCCGTTGCCCATGCTGCACGCGGTAGAGCCGTTTGGCTGCTGGCCGAGACGAGCAGAGACGGGCGTTCTCGAGTCGAAGCTGGAGGGTTTGCCGATGGGCGTGATGGAGTAGGGTATCGAGGCCGCCAGAGTCGAGGCCTGCGAGGTGCTGGCGAAGATGTCTGAGGCCAAACCGCCCTGCGAGACGGCGAGGGCCTTTGTCGTAGCCAGCGAGAGGCGAGGAAGGCCTGTGGAGAGTGATTCTCTGCGCTGCAGGGAGTTTTCAAAGGCGACACCGGCCTGGGTTGGGATGCGCAGTGCCCATCCTTCACACAGGCTGTCCTTTTAATTTTTTTGG